GGGGAGGGGGAAGTGGTAATATTGACTTAATTAAAGAGACTATCTGGTTAGTTATTTATAATTTTCAGTATTAAAGAACGTTGTTTTAATATTTCAATAACTGATAAGCTTCTAAGTGTGGGAAAAGGTAAAAATGTAAATTTTATCTTAATTTGGAGATGGAATTAAGTGGAAATGGAGATCTAAATATTCGTTATAGTAAAACATTTAGAATCACGGGGCAACAAGCAAAAGTATTGTTTTAAGACTCAAATTTTTTTAAATCTGTCCATTAGGCTTTTTGACGAATACAAATCCGCGAAATTGGCCAGTTACTTTCATTGAATGGCTTTTCCTTCATATTTTTCCCTTCAGTTATAAGATTTTTACTAGTAATAAATTAAATACTACTACTATGCTTTTTAAGCTCATATACCGAATGCAAAAGTAAAAATTTGCATACTATGTCATACTGCAAATGTAATGCTCACCGCAGCATTTGATTTAAGACTGTACTCATGAGTGAAAAATGTGCTTCCTATCTTAGCTCACAGTTGGAATCATTCAAGCAACGGATCTCCCGGGAATGGATATGTCAGGAACCTCGGATCCATATGTCAAGGTCTACCTAATGCCAGAAAAGAAAAAATTCGAGACCAAAGTTCACCGCAAAACTTTGAACCCCGTCTTTAACGAAACCTTCCTTTTCAAGGTTAGCATGTCTTAAATTCGCATTTGGAATTGAAATTCAGCAAACTGGTAAAGTTAGAATTTTAATTTCTATCTATTTTCCTATTATCCTATAATTAAGCCTACTATAGCGAAGGTGATGTAGGTGTATTTTTCAATTCTCTCAATTCAATGAACATAGTCATTCTGTTCTGGTTTGGTGACAAAATTAATTGTTTAAAACGCTCTAGCATTGACATTAAAATTACGGAATTTGGCACACTGACTTTATTCTTAAATTCCCTCCTTTTCCTTCATCAAACTGCATAACCGCTCCTTAAGCTACACAAATAAATTTGAAAATTTTTCTTCATTTCGCGGACAAACTTTAGAAACTAATAAGCAAAGTATATTTGGTCATTTTAAGACAAAACTAGCATTAGTTAATAAAGTTTAAGATGACCATATGCCCGGCTCTAATTGTGAGATTGGAGTTAATTCCCAAAAAGCAGTATCTGCAGCATAAGTAGTAATCAACGTTTTTATTGGCTGATGCTGCTCACAGGGTCACTAATTCGCCTTATAGCTGACCAATAGAAATCGAGGTTCTGGTTGTGACTTTGGCGAGGACGGGCTATTTCCCATGTCAACTGCGAATTCAAAATGGAGAGAGGGGATGTTGTAAAACGAAATAGAAAGTCCGGAGCATATGCTTGACTTTAATTATCGTCAATATGGCGCTTTTATTCAGATCAGATTTCTAATTACCATGCCAGCTGGTGGAAATTAAAAATTCAATTTTAAATACTCTAATAAATTTGCATTTTTTGACTCATAAAACGATTTTTCATCTAAAGTTGTAAATATATACATTATTCTTAATTTATTTGGAAGTAAGTCATTATAAGGGAGGTTTTAATCCTAGGTTCCATATGCAGAAGTTGCTGGAAAGACTCTGAGATTCAATGTCTTCGATTTCGATCGATTTTCAAAGCACGATCAAATAGGTCAGATCCATGTTCCTCTTGGATCTGTTGATCTGGCTCGTGTTATCGAAGAATGGCGAGATCTTTTACCTCCAGATGACGATGAGAAGGTGAAGATCGATTGGCATTTCGATACTTTTATTGATTATCGAATAATCAATTTTTTATTATTTTCTAAAGGAAAATAAACTCGGAGATATTTGTTTCTCGTTACGATATGTCCCAACTGCTGGTAAACTGACTGTTAACATTTTGGAAGCAAAGAACTTGAAGAAAATGGATGTCGGTGGTCTATCTGGTAAGCAAATAAAACTACTCTACTGTAATTTAATGAGTAGACGGTTGTTAACCCTTCCTCTTGCCGTCAGATCCCTATGTGAAACTCTCTCTTATGCTCGGAGGTAAACGTATCAAGAAAAAGAAAACAACTATTAAGAAATGCACATTGAATCCGTACTACAATGAATCATTTGCATTCGAAATTCCGTTCGAACACATTCAGGTGGGTGACTGACCCGACTGCTTCAGACATGACAAAGCGGTTTAAGAAATTGCATTATATATTTGTTTTTTTTTCTTTTTCAGAAAGTCACACTAATCGTAACGGTAGTTGACTACGATCGAATCGGAACCTCGGAGGCTATTGGGCGCGTAGTTTTGGGTTGCAGCGCCCAAGGTGCGGGTCTACGTCATTGGTCCGATATGTTAGCCAATCCTCGTCGACCAATTGCCCAGTGGCATACGCTGCAAGAAATGCCAGAGAAGGGCTAGTTACCGCCACCCATGACTCTTCGCGTTGCCATGTTATCCATGACTTTGAACAAATACAATTCGTGACGCTATACTACAACAGCATACTACCGCGTGCGTCAAATATGTCCTTGTGGTGTCCATCGTCACTTGTTATTAACTTCCTTACCCTAAGCTCCTTGTTCGACCCCTATTCCTCACCGCAAATTTATTATATCTAGTTAATCGTTCGACTTAGTGCCACCCATTACCTGTCAAAAAATTGATGACGATACGATTTATCTAGTTTTTTCCCTTACCTTTCCATTGTTCATCCTACTCGCCTAATCTTAATCGACTAGTGTGAGTTATCTGTCTCTCAATTTATCCGATAAAAGAACGCTTAATTCTCACCCTTCTGTCAGATTATCGAAATTGCCTTCTCCTTCTTTTCTCCTCTTCCTTGGACTCCTCGACTTTCTCTTGGTGTATGTGAATGTCGTTGGTTTTCTCTTTTTGTAAAATGCAATCTGGTCCCACAGCAACAAAACTGGCAACCTAAATTGTCTGCAATTTAATTAGCTTAAAATGGCGAACGCAGCTCTTAGGGTTCCAATGTGAGAAATAACAATTAAGGTCATTTGAGTTACGATCACCTAATGATTTTTGGAATGAAAGGCTATGTAGCATTTGAAATATTTTAAATTATGAAAAAATATAGTAAAAGATGCAATGGTTAATGGAATGAACAGAAATTATGGAAAACCTGATTAGATAAAAAAATTCTTCAATTGAATTTAATTGGACGAACATTTTCATAAATTCAGTCGATGAGTGGTAGATTAGTAATCATTGTAACAAAATTCAATATAGCGTATACTGACACATCAAACTTCATAGAGTACGTAATGAAATGACGGTTTAATTTACCGCTTGCAGATTAGCACGGCTTTTTATTGTGTAATAAAATGAGGACATATACGGCAACCCTGAATGACTTCAATTATCAAAATTAATGACGCTGATCAAACACAGCAATAAAAATATAATAAAAATTTGCGTTGAATATTATCAATTAAACGGATTAACGGTCAATTCTCATTTGCTAGGCAACTAATATTAAGGATTTCTGGCTAATTACTCTAACAGAGTCCTGAGGGGGACTTAGCCAACTGCTATCACGGTTGATTCACTATTTAGAGGATTTGCTTAACGCACTGAAAATTTATTTTGGTTTTGGCTGAAAATGAATAGGATTTAGTAGTTGTTTCCAATGCTATTCAGCTATGATTCCAAACCTTTTAAAGCAAGATAAAGTTAAATAGGCTCACCTAAACGCCTCACTTAATCTATAACAACTGCATATGAAGTGATTAAAATTGAGCTAGTGTTAAATTATGAGCTTAATTAATGGAAGACCACAACGAAATGGATCTTTTTATGCTTGAATCAATACCCTTTGCAACAGGCATAAAGTTATTTACTGGCATCACATCTCCCAACTGAAGCGAGCCTTGGGGGGGGGGGATTTTTTGCCACTATGCGCTTCGTCATGTTTTTGTATGACCTGAATGGGGTCATCACGCACACCTTGCTAAAGTTGCTCCATTTCGTTGAAACGTTAACTACATTTGAAGTCATGTTTATAATTTCAGTTACTCCACATGAGCACCAATCATTTAAACTTTTGATTGAGTTGCTTTCTTCCACTATTGTTAGCCTTTATTATTTCGTGCGTCATTGAGGTGATAATACTTCAATTCTCATTCATCCGTTTGTGCCAACCTTGAGCGACAGTTGTATTAATGTCAATTTTAAATTAACTTTATTCATTGTGTGTAGCGATCATCACAAGATAGCCACTTCCTGAAATTCTTTAGCGACTATTAGCAAGACCGAATCCCCTATACGTCAATTGTGAGTAGATGCTGAAGTAATCAATGTTCTATAAGTTGAGGGAGTAAGAACTGTTCCATGTAACTATAGGGTCAATTTCATTATTGACAGTACAAGAAAATATATCACATCGATGGTCTACGAAAGGCTTAATTTGTATGTAACTGAATGCTCATCTCTAAAATGATTTAAAATTGGACTGGGGAAACTAAAGCTGCCCTAGAACAATTTCAGATCACTTTATGCAACTCTAAGATGCTTCAAAAGATCCCATAGAGTACGCGTGTGAAGTTGATGCTATTGGAATGGCCGTTAAGCAAGAACCGAAAGAGGGCCCTATACACTTTAACATTATTTCCCCATTTATTTTAAGGGAATTCTAGTCAGCAATCAAGGAATTGAGAGTCTGACTGCTGAATTCTGCAGGATGTGAGTGGTTACTGGAGTCATTTAGAATACGCAGACGAATTAGGACATTCTGCAAAAACTTCCAAGGGGATGCGAATCAGTACTAGAAAAACGTTTCTTACGATCGTCAAATGAAAACAGCCTGAATGGAGGTAGTTTCTAATCCAAAACAACCATGACTCTGGTCTGATGAAAACAGGGTTTACCGTGTGAGTTCAAATTCGCCTGAGATCGGAAAAAGTTTCGATTAGAATCTGGGCAAATCTTCTTGAAATGTTCGTCAAGTATGTTCTTCCATAAGGGGTGTCCACTACTGTCTAATGCAAGATGAAAAATATAAAATTAATGGACGATGCTGGACCAGTACTGCTGACGTCAAATGAGTGCTAAAATGCTGTCAGACAAATTTCTTATGATAAACCACGTTTCGTAGTTTCTGGGCAAATTTGCACTAAAAGTTATGCATTGTATTGAGTTCCCAATTAGCCAAATAGGGGGAATTCTAAATTGTTGGCAAACTAATTCAAATGTGAAGCTGTTTTCTGTGAGAAAGAGAATGTCTATTGACTACAGAAACATGGTGAGAAGGTAATTCTGGATTTTCAACCAGAAATAATGCCGTAGTAGACGATGAAATAGCCTGTCTGAACTCTGGATGTCATCCGGTCTTTACAAACGTGTGAGATGAAAAGTCCCTGGGGAGCGGATCAATAACGAAATGCAGATACTGCACAAACCGGTGGAATTTCTTGTCCTGTGAATGCCTGCCATAAGAACCAATTGAAATCAAGATGGTTAGAAGAGTGTTTGAAGACATGGTACTCAGGATTTCAAAGAACGAAGATAACTTGAAACACTGTGGAAGGAAACGAAAAGCAACCAATTTGAAGAACAGGGAGTCCAGATGCAATTATGCCTTGATTCTCCACTTGGCCCACAAAACTCACTTGATTCGCCTCTATTAGTCTGTTTTAAATGCTCTTCAATCTTATTTATTTATATCAAATGGCACGCATTTTGATAGTTGACATTAGCCCTTTATTTGACTTCGGGCTTCACAGAGAGGAGAAGGAACATCAATGAGACAAGAAAGTCGATAGGGGGGACAGAATAATGATTCATAGATGTGAAAGGGACGGGCAGACACAAAGACAGAGAAAAGGTAACGTGAGTATTGCGAAAGGGTTAGAATATGGCATACAGTTGGATCATGGTAGTTTGAAATCAGAAGTCAACTACCGGTAAAAAGACTTTAGCCGTATGAGTATGCTTTGCCCAGGGTGCACCATGTGGAGGTAAATCTATAGTACACCCCACTCTTCATTCTTAAAAATAACTAATTGTTTTTGTTTTGGTGAGCGCCAGAGATCACGAGTTCAGTACCTATCGGAGCAATGGTTAAGAAGATGCAAATGAATCCAAGTGGCATGATCTGCCATCAATTTAAATCGCCGAGTGAAAATTAACGCGCTCGATTCATGAAAACTGAATATTAGAAAATTTTGACATTTCAAAGTGAATTTCACTTACAATGTGGAATGGCCAATTGAAACTTCGAGAAGGTAAGTATAATAAATCCCTCGTTATATGCCCACACTCGACTACTCCTCCCCCCCCCCATTTACTGAATTCTTTAGATAGATCCCGTGTCCTAGAATGATACCAATTCACAGGTCTCCCATTTAAAACGTTACGTCTTGAGATGAGAAATGCATTTCAAAAGACCTGACACGTGATCACAGAGCTTTTCTTCACCGGCTCTGTGCTAAAGATCAAGGTGCACAATCAATTCCCCCCTAAGCTAGTGCATTACTTATGAGAGGAGAAGAATGAACTGTTTTCTCAGCATATTAGAAAGGAATTGAGGTTGCTTCGGGTTACTACCGAGTAGGCGATGAAGAGTGGATAAATACAGACAGGGTATTAAAATTTGACATTCCATTTTAGTTTCCCCAAGGTTTGAATTGTTGGGGTCGTCCCTCGATTACTGTGAGCAATCTTGTTGACAATGTCCGCTTCTGGCTGAAAGCTCAGTTAATAAGGATGATCGGTATTAAGGCTTCTATTTCTTCAGGGATTGAATGGATTGCGAGAAGGCTAAAATCTGCCGAGGGTTCAGGTCAATCTTACTAATAGAATTTAAAAAAATTAGGCACTTCATAGCACTTCTAAGGGTATAACTTGAGCATATCAGTTGAAGGGCATTTATTATAAGTGTCTGTCAAGCACGATATCTGCTTCACGTTTATTTCGCCTTTAAACAGCAGTTAAAGAGGATGAAACAAGTCAATTAACCGGCGACAGAAATTCTAAATAATATGAACAATCAGCTTATTTCCATTTTGTAAGCTTAGGGAGTGAGGTCAACTGTTGCCCTGACTGAGTGTCCTCTAATTGACCTTGAATTCGCTGAAGAACACGTTAATGATAATAAAAGCGATAGTAGATAACACTTCTTAAGGGTGACCTTAATGGCGAAGCTAACAATTCCTGTTCTTAATTAACTATCTGAGATCGAGTTACTGGTTTTAATTAGTAATGACCTCAAAACCAAATGTGCAGCACGTGCTTTTGTGATGCCTTCCGAGAAAAGGCAAATATTGCTCCGTATCAGACTCTATAGCTGGACTTCAAATTTTTTGTTAGTTAATTACATATTTTAAAGTTTTCATCACCTTCGTACACAAATTTCCTATTTCCGAAAGGTCAATGACTGACCCTGGTGGAAAAAGTGAGCTATCTGAGATCTCATTGTCAATTTGAAACAGCAACTTGACTGACTCCATCCCCCCTGGTTGAATTTTAACTAAAGCAATATTCAAAGAGAGGCGACCTAGTATAGGCGTAGTTTTTAGGGACTTTCTGAGTAGTAGCTAATATGTAACAAGGTTTTTCAAGCTTTAAAATTGCTGACTCAAGCATCTACAGAATTTTTATGCAGCCGAGTTCTTCTTAAACAGTTTGATGAATAAGTAATTGCCTGATGACTTCTGTTTAGCGGTCCAAATAAATCTGATCTATGAATATGAACCTGGGTATCGATTTAATGACCCATAAAGTGAAAAGCACAAAACTGGTTGCAATCCTCTCTTAATACTAAGGTCAACAATTAAACTATCAAGGACAATTTTAACGATCGTAAGTACATGGTAGAGGCCATCAACTGAGACCCATTAATAAAACTACTCCCTTCCTTTGGAGCCTATAACTTAAATAATCTCGTTCAAATAATTTTGTCAACCGGTGCCTTGTTTTTACATAAAAGCAATGAATTTTACTCGTATCATAGCAAGCATTGACAAATCACTGATATATTTTTACACCCACGTTGTTACTGCTATTGACTCAATGATTCATATTCAGTTTGTACACTCAAGGTAAACACAAGAAACAACTGATAAAAACAGAAACAATAACTAAAATGTAAAAACGAAATATCTCACTATACAGGGAAAATATTGCTTATATATATGGCAATACATAATACATAGATCATGAAATGTCAATTCGTTCAATTAGGGACACAACAATCAACGTCTAAAGCGACGGTCTCCTCTTCCACCACGAACGAAACGATTGCCACTGCGAAAGTCCCCTCCTGCTCCATTATTCTTCACCGGTACATCCACAAAGATATTTCTGGCGTAAGTTTGATTGGGACGGGTTCTATTGACGTTAGTTGGGGTGGGGGTGTTACGCATTTCTTTTTGGGCACGAATAAGAGCTCGAGCCTGTTCAATGTACTGTTGATAAGCAGGCAGTGATGACATCCTGGAGTTATTTGATCCTGTTCTAGTCAACTGACCTCTTCTTGAGAATCTGGAGCCTAGACATTAATAGAATTTGAATAAAACTATCCATTTGAATAGAACCGTCCACTAAGTATTAAGATTGAAAACTTACGATTAACTCCCTGTGTAGCATTTTGCCACTGTCTATTCCCACCAGCAGTATTAGAGATAACACGTTGAATTCGGGGCAAATTTCCGTTATTGTTATTTCGATTTCCACGATTAAATGATCTCCTTTGGTTAAAAGATCGTGCTTGTTGTTGAATGGGTATTTGAATTTGTCTCTGGGTTAAGTTATTTAGACGGTTTCGGAGATCTTGACTTCTGCGAAGCTGTTGCTGCTGCCTCTGGCGAATTAAAATTCGTTTTTTGGTCATAATTCGTCTTTGAACCAGCATTCTCCGATTATTCGCTTGAGTAACACCAGTATTGGCTAGAGAAGATATTGTGTTGATGATAATTGATGAACTTTTGAATTGATGTGTGATAATAACAGGCAGCAAGATCAAATTGTATTCGCTCGTAGATGAAAGGTTTTAAAACCGTAGCAGAAAACACTGATCACTGGCTCAGACTGCAGATATAGCCGGGCCGATCAGAACAATGCAATTGGGGTTACCAAATTGTTACGATTATGTGCCATTATTCCATACCATATGAAGTAATCCCAAGACATAAGGTCACAGAAAAAGTGGTCAGTGCAGGAAGCAAATATCCACCCATCTTTCTTTCCTGTTTAACAAGCTGCTGGTACTATCAGACCACTGTTAGATTAGAGAAGTGACGTTGACTTGTCAAGTTATGGCAGGTAATGACAGCCAGCTCGACTCCCACATCGGAAAACATAAAGTGTCGACATCTTACGGCAGTTCAGAGTTAGTCATAATCCGCAGGTCTTAAAACATTCTGAAACCCAGAATACACGCTATTGATTGCTTTAAGCAGCCCCAAATCTTACTGCCATAAAAGCAGTTACGAGAATTTTACAAATGGTCCGTTAGTTTTGAGCCTCAAAATTCTTTCCGGTTACTTTCAGAGAAGTCATCATTGAGCGAATAAATTTATCTCCAGAGTCATGAATCAGCTCTAAGGTAAGAAATGTTCCCAAGCAAGCTTCTCCATGATCCTGTCTGCGAAAAGGACATACACACAACACATATAAGATTTAAGCGTAAGACTTAATCAAGACATAAAACCATGAAACTTAGTTGAGTCACTTAATTAAAAAATAAAAGGTAACATACGTGCAGAGTAGGAAGGCGAAACCAAGGCTGCAGCATCGGCAGCAACTTTTGCAGCAATGGCAGCAGTCTGCTTTGCGCGTTTAAATATCGCCTGAGCTGCCAAAGTCTGCCGAGACTTCATATTCTTTAAGAGAGATGGGCGGAGAGCAGCCGTCTTCTTTGCGACAATTCCACGCCTCTTTTTAGCCGATACCCTCTTAGAAACAACGGGATGCTTGGCTTTCTTGTTAAGCTTGATTATGTCATCTAAATGAAGAATTATTTAATGAAAGATTGCACTTCATAAAAAACACAAAATACTTGCAACTTACCCAAACTCATGTCAATAGCGTTGCCGATCTCCATCTCGTAAGCAACAGAAGAAGACAACAGCGAAAATGAGACGACTGTTCCGTGAACTGGACATACATATTTATAGTTAATTAACATAGTTAAACAAAATTTTAAAATTAAAATAATAAAAATACAATTTTTGGTGATTTAAAATTAACTGTTATATTTTTATTTTTTTAAAGTAATTTCATTTTTCATTTTTTGATATTGTATCTCTCACCGAATTTGGAAAGTAATTCATTAATCACCCTATTTCTAAGGATACAATATAATCGATTTAATTACTAATAATAATTTTCAACAACCAAAGTAGCTTTAGTGCAAATTTAATTGAACTTCATGGCGACTTTTTCATTTATGCTCGACAAATTGAACGACCATGTCAAACCCTCTCCATTCAGTTCAATGAACGTTCCTTTGTGAAATTGGTCAACCAAAGGTCAAGCGTTAATAATAATGAGTTACTTTTTTTGAAGGTTTATGCACACCTCTTACGTTAATCATAGTGTACCTCAATGAACATACAAAATTACTTTTCCTTGAATAAATAAATTGTATGATTATGTTAATATTATCATATAAACCACAGGTTAACGTAATAGGTTACTATCTAAAGTCGTACCGATTTCAGAGTCTTTTTTGGAGCCCATAACCGAATAGATAGTAAAAATTTGTCCATCCAATTACTAATATAAAATTTTTATTCATCAATTATTAGTGACCAATTTCGCCACTGGGGCTAGATTTTGTTTTGTTTAGAAATATGCAAGATGAATTCTTCACGCTTTACATTGGTTTGCAGTTGCGATTCGTAAATTTTTAAGAAGGAAATTTCTACTTGCCTATGACATTTGAATTTAGTGTTCACTTTTCCACAATGACTTTGTTACCTCTTGAAATTAAGGTGCTACAATTTATTTTTTCTACATAACTGACTTTATCTTTAAGTCCTGGCAATATTTTATCTTCTTTACTTATTCTTTTAATATGAATACAAGCTTATTTGGTGGTCTCTTTTGGCTTTCGCTGTTGTAGGTAGTACAGGAAGAAGCACATTATCTTATTTAAATAAATATCTACTACGTCTGTAGTGTAGACGTTGTTTAGTCAATGGTCACAGGGTCAATGTCCAGTGATCTGCATCTATTGGTGTGGCTGACAATTCGTGCTTGTTGATTCTGTCTAATGGGAGGGTTATCGTGAAGCACTTTTCGCATGAGAGACTCTAAGATGCGCTCCCTCCACCCAAGAGAACACATATAACTCTTTTCATAACTTAAATGAACTGTATTCTTGTCATTTAACAATATAATAATGGCTAACATTAGAGAAAGAACAGGAATTTATTTCCCGTCTGAACAATAATTTCAAATTAGAAATAGTAAAAATAACCTATTTCCCATTGAAAAGTAAACTCCTCTTCACTGTTCGCATTCTATAAATGCTTAATTTCGTAATTAAGCAGTAACAATTGATATGCTGACACATTCTAAGGTAAAGGAGAGTTTAGTTAAGATCTTCTTGAAATTGATTAACGATTAGAGTATTTCTTTAAACTGTGTCCAATAACGGTATTCCGAAACCTTTCAGGAATACGATGAGAATGCTCATTTTATGACTATGCTATCATAGAGCCAAAACTAATTGAGGGCATCTAACCGTATTTCTAGGACAATTTCACATTCAAAATTCAAGGCAAAGGACTTTGACATCCGACTTTCCATTAAACCTCCCCTAACTAAAAATGCCTTTGAGACAGTAGTTACTACAAAGCGCTAAGAAACCCCACACATATTTACACACAAATAAGATGGGAAGAAGTCTAATGATAGCGTTCTATCGCAGCTACTAAGTACAACAGCCTCCATTCTCTGCTTTTTGAGCTGTAATAGCTAACTTCAAGCGAAATAGTCCCGTGGCAGTAAAATTTAACTGTGCTTATAGATTTGATGCACTAAAATGAAAAATATATTTCAAAACTTAATGTTATGAGTTTTTCTGGAGGGTTTGCATGCATACCTTTATAGATAACTTGTCAACTGTCAGTTTTTTTAAAGATAAGCATATCAAAGCAGAATGTTAGAGTACGTTTCACAAACTTGTATAGGTTTCACATTCGTGAAAAAATTAATAGAATTAACCGTAGATGGCATAAAGGCGACAACTGGGCGAAACCTTTGTTGATAAGACGAGAGAAAAAGAAAAATAAATGAAACGAGCATTCTCGAGGATTCTACCCAAGCTGCTGGAGGTTACGGAACATGACGACACTTTGGCGAGCCAGTTCAGCCGCTGACATTCCTCCATAAGTTGCTCCGGGTGTATTTGAGAAGAAAGAAAATGAATCGATAGTAGGACTAGAGAAGACACTCAATGTGTCTTCAGCCAGGGCGGTACATTCGCTTGGTACGAAGCAGAATATCTACAACAGGATGTCATGCGTGAATTTGAAAATATTTTGCACTCTCCGAGTTACTTTAATAAAGCTTACCTGATCATCGAGACAAATTTTGAGGTTAGTATGGGGATTAGTCACAACAACCCGGAATCCACGCCTATCAAGACGATATATTCCCAGACAGAGAATTCTCCAGCACATTAAGGCATGAACAAAGACGGCTTTATAACGAAGTGTTCGCTAGAAGAAAAAAAGCCAGGACAGTTACCATCGGCCTGAACATTTGGAATGGTGTCGCCAAAACCACCCACGTAACAGTAATACAAAATTACAACTACTATTTGAGAGAAGTAACCGACATTAAATAACTGTTAGTTAAAAAAATGATTACAGAAAACAGTGACCATGTACTTCATTAGGCTTTTGGACTCAAGTTGTACAGTGTTTAATAAACGAGCAATTCATGTTCCTTAATTTAGATCACACGTGACCTATCCTGTTAGCTGTTCAAAAAGGGTTAATGTGCCACTTCATTCCACTTTGTACCACATTGGTTGTCAAGGCAACTGACCTCATGCGCTATTCTTCAGTTTACAATTGTGACTTAGCCGAGATTAGATAGGCAAGTAAACATTCTTAAGGTCATATTCGTTAGATTATCTTTGCCTTAATTAAATACTTAACTATATTCTAACTAAATTCTTTTAAGGATATTTGAATTTAATAAATTTAAATCGTATGAACTATAATGGAGAAAATAATCAAAGTCGCCTTCTGCAATTGACTCTAAGGTCAAATTAATTGCCATATATGGTGAACTACCCTATAGACTACAAAATTCACAAATATCAGGCACAATTTATACGATATTATAGCAAAAGCCGAGTAAACAACACCTTAATTGATCTGGTAAAAAGAGTTCCAAACGGCACTTCATTCATCTTGAGAAGAGCAATACGATTTCCTGTTGCTTTTGGGGTTGTATTCGGATTTCCTTTTTGCAATCCTTAAAATGGCAGGAAAATGGAATGAGATTGGAAAAATATTTGCTTGTTAACGGTAAATGAATGTCTAAAATTACCGTTTCGGAGTAGATTTGTGGTTTCAAGCTCCTCTACAGCAGTACCAAACAAAAGGACCCTGAGAAAACGGAAGACGGCACCACTGAAATATAGCTAAAAATCGAGAAAAGCAAATCGACTACAATCGAAATTCCACTGATTGAAAAGCGAAGATTCATTTACGATTAGTTATATCGGTTAAACAAAGAGAGAAACGCAATGTAATCAAGCATTGCTCACAGAACTGATTGAACTGTAAAGGAGAGTATTGCTGAAGATAATGCCTCTAGCGAAAGCCTCCTGGAAACGCGTGGATAGTTTGAAGTCAAGTTGATGGGATTCCGCCGAGCTGAAGTGGTGAGCATTCTGCTCGTCGTCTGTAATTAAAGCAAAAATAAGATAATGCGTTCAATTAACTAATCAAAAGTTTGAATAATATCCCACAATCACAGGGCCGTGGTAAGAACTATTTTCAGTGAAAGCAATGATAGTTTTATTGACTCGTAAAGATGGCTATATTCTCTATTCTAATCCGTGAAATAAGCAGAAATTTACGGAGGCTAAGAAAGAGGCGTCTGGCAAACGCGCGCGCGCACACACACACAGACAGAATTTTAGGTATGTTCATGGGAAAGTTGAGAATGTTGGTTTAAACACATTGAACAAGTAAGTAGGTGCTTATGCATTATAAATCTTAACTAGAAGGACTTGGGAAAGTGCACTATGGTCGGAGCACGCCAAAAAACAGTCGGTACTAGTCGTCATCACGCCGCTCTCTCCACAAGCTTGGAGGAATCCAGATGTGGAAGTAAAATTGAAGTGACTATTATTGCCTTCAAATACTTTCCCAATGACTTGTGAGATCTGCTAGAAAAGGAAAAGAGCACCACTCAAATGGAAGAGGTTTATGAGGCTCGACCCTCTCCCACAAGTATTCTTGCTAAGCTGAAACTGACATTCTGCTTTAAAAAATCGATACTGACCTAATTCACATAAGCTGATCTGTGGACCTCTGATTTGCTGACAATATCACAAGTTTCCTTTTAATTAAATTGTTTTGATAGATGATCTAATTTAACTTTTCTTTTATTGATCCGTTAATTTTGAAAAAACGATCATTATGATATAAAGTTGTGCTATCTAGGCGATCAAATACCAATGAGCATGCTTAAAATAAGCCAGTTAATTTAGTAGCTTTCGAAAACAGGCAAAATTTTGCGTGCCCGCAAACTTACGCAATTCAACAGTCATGTGGATATTTAGCGGTGACTGTTCAATCAGGGAACGGATTGTCATTGCACAGAGAAGTGTATTCTTGTCCCGCATACAATGGTCACCATCGTAGATGCTTGCAGATTCCCCAAGAATGGTACAAGCAGAACACTTCTTCAACCTCACAGCATTCAAGTCGTTAAGACTACATGGATTCCCCTGTAATATATATAGAGGATCATCAAAATTGTGACCGCAGGTTTATATTATAAGCAACTGTTCTAGATAAGCGATGACAAGGGGTATTCAAGAACTAGAAGACAGTCTAATCAGCATGTATTAGCCAGTAGAGGAGTAGAACGGCTATATATATATATATATATATATATATATATCCATCTTAATACTTTCTATTAACCCTGAACTTAAGTCTGCGAATGTAAAGGAAAAAATTCAGACATAGTTTCGGATAAATAAAATAGTCTAATTAGCTAACAAAATAAAAATTCTCGTTCAGCTACTGCAAAAAAAGTTAAATTTTCAAACGGTAACTTCATTTTTAATTTACATTCGACACAATGAATCACGATTCAGTTAGAAGTACTTTACTGCCAACACTACTGCGCATATTTTTAAGCTAATTACAAATATTTTGGCATCCCAGTAAATTAAAATCCACCACCTTTGTTTCAGTTCGTTCCCAATCAGTGAAAGCACCAGCTCAAAGGAAACGCTCTCAAGGACAACCTCCACCACGACCGATTCACAGACCTCGTCTCATCGATGAACGCAAGTCCCGTGAGTAGACGACCGTACCATCTTCCTCTACCTCATCACACTCCCAAGGTGGAGAGGATGGTAAGATCTCTCCCTTCTCACAACCTCTTCCTGTAAACACCTCAAGTCTTCGTCAAGATGTCTCCTCTTAGTTTCCGACATAGCTTGGACTACTTTTCTAATTCTCCTCCTACCTGCCTTCTGCATATCCTACTGCATTCGACAAATCGGCCTCCTTCTTGCCCAACATCGACGATCTAGCCTAGTTGAAACCCTGTCTTCCCTCTCACTACATTACCTTCATGGTGAAGATGCAGGAAGGAACATTGTGGTAGTCATCTATCTTGGTGCCCCTGGGATTAAGATTGCTGCATTGAAGAAACTTCTGGTCAAGCGTATTTTCTCCACTCCGCGCACACCGAGTGGCACTCACCAACGACGAAATTGTGGATCTAAGGGTATGGAGAGGTGGTTTGCTGAACGACTTTAGCAGATTGTAGTGCCTCTACCGACTGGATATGCTTGGCAGAGGTGAGTTCGAGTCCTTTTGCCCATTCAAACTTTTGTCGACAAGTGTTTTTCCACAAAGCTAGAAGTATGCTTTTAAACAAAGCATTCAAGGGTTGCTGACCTACTTTTTCCAATTGGAATCATCCGATATTTTACAGTGGAAGGGAATTCTGATTTCGTTTACATAATTGGCAAATCATTTGTACTTCTGGTATACTTTGCCATAAATTCTCCGCATATTTAAACCACTTCAATATAAATTACCTATTGGGTTGATAAATAAACTCAACTCTTAACTATGATTGCGTGCAATAATACTTTTAAAATGGTAAATTTTGCCTATCAGATTCACTGAAGGCATTAATAAAAATGAACGAACAAATATTGTTGTGTTTTGTTCAGTTATTATTATTATTTTACTTATAGTTAACAACAATGTCAACAACTATTATTCAATAAAATTTCCTTATAATAATTAAAACCTTAAACTGGTCCAATGGAGATTGAAGAGAGATGGGGAAGATAGGGGCAGAGAAAGTGATCGGTGTTTCAAAATTTTCTCAGTTTGTTGAGCATTGTCCCATTGACGTTCATGATTCACAAGATTGAGTAATTGGTCAAAGTATCTCAATCTGGTAACTTGTATTCTTTCTCAGAGGTCTTAGCACCCCGGGTTTGGCTTTAAGCTCCAAACCGCGTCTGCAGAGTTTTATTTAAATTTTTTACATGGTTGATCATTTCCCTGACCCCGATCGTATGCTAGCAAGTTTAGTAAATATCAAACTATTTATGTTATGTTAGCGGGGCTATGAGCCTTAACCTTAAAATCCGACACCACAGACATCACCAACGCAAAGAACAACACCCACCCTTCACACCACCCCTCCTAGTTACCCTTGTTCTCTCACGACTTAGACTTGTGAAAATAAACTAAAATAAACTATGAAAGGCCAGATATTTAACTTACCTTGCAACCAAAGCAGTGCTTAGCCATTTTGAATATAAATAAATAACGCGCAAATCGTGTGATAATGCTATATGGGTGCCCTCTAAGAAGAATTGCACGGCGCAGATAAATTTGTAGGAGTGGGGTGGGGTGGGGGTGGGGGAGGGGGGGGAGCGGATTAACACCTAAGTCGTCCATATGGGTACAGCTCATGGGGAATGGTTGAAATGTCCACTCTTTTGTGAAGTTGATGTTGACCACTTGCTGACCACAGGCATTTAAGGCAGTTAATGTTGACTACCTTGATTTGTTTTTTTTACCATTTTATCGCTAATAAACGGTTCACCACTTAAATACAGGCCCTAACCATATCTAGTACGAGTCCCTGCTTTCCAATTCACATAATATAAATAAATTAAATTAAAGACATTTAGATTTCCGTACATACGATCAGAAATCCTACCAGTGCAACCTGCATTCCTTGGCTGACTCAATACAAATTACGGTAAAGAAATAATTAGTCAATTAGAATAATGGACTAACCTGGACAAGAAAGACGTGAGGAATATTCTTGACCTTCACCCACTCCTCTTCCTTGACAACCGAGGTGTCGCCAAGAATAACGATATCCCTAACTTCCATCCAATGGAATCGCAGCGGATAGACAAAGCTCTTCAGATTCAAAGATCCGTCTTCCAATGGTCCAACAATGCAGAGAAGGTAATGGTCTCTAAATTGATATCTAATGGCATCCGCTGGCGTCTAAAACAATCATGTAAAAATAGACACAAACCATAAATTAAGCTCAACTATCTCCGATTTTAACCGTCCTCTCTTCTACCCCATGCTTTGAGATTATATAGATTGAATCCACGTTTAGTAATACTACGTAAATACGGTGACAGTGTCTTGGTTTCGTTTCTATAGACCGGAATCCCCACCCCCTCATCCGGTATCCTGCACACCTTCTTAATTCAGCAAAAAACTTCCGCTTGATTGCAAAATTAATTAAAGATCATTGCTTCGAATCAGAAACAACTGTGTATCCTTGAAAGGTTATGTTGGTATAAGGCGCCAAATGAGAGTTAAATGGTGCAAGGTACCTGTGTACTAGGTACTATGCTAGCGGAAGGCTGAGATCAGCTACCCTATGACGTACCTGAGATACCATAAAAAGTGACGACTACTCAGAATAAACATGCAACCGTTTGGCACTAACGGATCTATAATCATTAGAAGGACAGAGGTAAACAAAGAGGTAGACACCACAGAAATAAGTAAAAACGGGTTGACCTGAAGTAGGTTATCCAGAGAATTTTACATAACTTCAATTGATACAATGTCTCATAACTCTTGGAAATTAATTAACTTATTTGAAGTGGTGTGTTGGATGTGGGCTATAAACTAAAATGCATCCCAATCTACTTCTCAAGGAGAACTGATGACTCTGAGAGCATACTACCTTTTTTCAACTTTTGAGATCCGTTATGCTTTTCCAAACCTGGAACCAGCTAACTTTTCACAACGAATACAAACAGTGAGGTCACCGTTCCACAGACAAACAGATACTGTTAATTTTAAACTTTACAAAAGATTAATAGGTAAGTTTGGTAATTTTATGAACACAGTAGTCTACATTCTCGTTTAAGGTTGAGTGCTTTCATTCCCGCATTCCAAGTTCACTCTACTGTAAATTCGCCTAACCACCGAAACTGCTACTTTTGTCACTTCAATAGTTGGCTTCCAGCCCAAAAACTTGGGAATAACTTCACCTCAGGTTAGGAAGAGTTTGGTTTATCTCTTCATTCACTTTAATATTTTAATTCCTACTAACTATATCCGTATGTGACCTCGAAGCATGCCTATATATATCTTATTTAGATTTTTAATTAAAATTTTTACCAACTATATGTATTTATTGATTAAAGGCGAAAAAAATTTAAGTCTGCGTTAAACTACGCATGAGTGGATAGACTATTCACCAAGTGCGAACATACCAATCTAACGCGTTCGATTGGCGTATCCGGTACCCAATGGAAACAACCAGTGGAGTCAAAATGTTTTGGGGCATAAGATTTGTGGGGCACAGTATAGCATTCATTGAAGTTTGTGACCATGGACTGACGAAGTCCTCCACGAACGAGATTGGCACTTCGAGTAGGTAGAATTGTTGTTGAGTTGTGATGACTATTGAAACGAGAAGCGCCTTTGACTTTTGCATTCAGTGAACGAAAAGTTTCAGATTCAGCTCGATTCAAGCCCGCGACGGCCACTAATTCGGGATCACTCTCAATTTCTTCAGGTGTTCTTGGGGGGTCAGGGGTGAAGGGTTCAGATATGCTCTCCCTATTTAAAATCAATTATATATCAGTTAGGAACTTTTAATTCAAGATAATTCATGCTAGTGACAACTTAACCAGTTTGATCTACTTACAAATATAGTTTTAAAGCCTCCAAAGAGGGTAGAAGGTAAATATGCGAAGATCGATTTTTTATCAACCCTCGTGTTGAACAAATCAACCAGTGTGGCTGTCCAACCACGTTATAGGGTGTAAGCTCATGAGAATTGATCTCGAGAAATTGTATTCGACCTATGTGCAGATCAACCACTAAATCATTGGAGAGTAGCAATTTTAAAATCTATCATGTTCTTCTAGCACCATTTCAAACGTTTGCATAAGAAAACGTGCATATCATTCACTGCCGTTTTAAATCCTTGTTTATCTGATTAATCATTCTATATGTTTAATTCTTTTATCAGTTATCGATTTTCAGTACGAAGATCGTTTTTTAATCTTTCCTGACTCTATTGAGCTATCGCGAAAGCCAAATATGCTGACTTAAATTTTTTTACTGAATTCTTATTGGTCCAATCAGATGATATTGGTTTGAAGCCTATTGGCGAAAATATTCAGCCATTAATACAAGAAAATCAACCTTTCGGTCAGTAATTAAGGTTGAGGGATTAAATACGAAAAGTGAAGTTTAAAATAAGAAGGCTCTTACTCTTCTGCATCCTCGTGCATTTGATTTGCGGACCCCTCACTAATGGTAAGCTCTTTTTCTAGAAAAACAAAATAAAAGTTAAAGGGAGGAGGAGGAGGGAGGGGGGAGGGGGGTCAAAGGATCTGACTGCAAATAAATTGGAGCATGCATTCAAAGAATGCATGCATATGGCTTACCTGTCATCCATTGTAACGACTATTTTTGTAAATTGAAATTTAGTAAACACAGTCATTGTTTATTTGGGGCTGATGATTGATTTATGAGAATTTAGGCGATCCCAAAGTACACCACTAATTTTTTCTATACACATTTCAGCTCTAGGTTTGACTTGGGGCACTTCATTAATTTAAGATTCTGTAATTACTCGAAGGACGACTTCCTGACCCATTTGCTACAAGAGTGAATTTGTGCTTAATAACCACCATAAATCCGGAAAATTCACTAATCTAGCTCTAATAACGTTCATTTGTCCCTTAGTAGAGCTATAATCATTCAGATATGAAATTCAAAAGGACGGTTATGGGATTAGATATGCGACAAAAGATTGGCTAGGTGGTTAGGCAGTAATTCTAGAGATGGGTTTTGCCCTAGCGATTTTACATAGAAATAGCGAAATTGATTTCCAGAGCACAAAAGATGAAGCTTACGAGTGCCCTCCTGACACAGCGAAAATACTTGATTCGCCAAAAGAGTTCGAATATTTACCAAGACATAAATATGATTGACCACAGAATCCTTTTAAGAGTGTAGTTTAAATTCTTTTATAGTAGGCTGAATTGAACCAACTTCCTTCCAGTTCCTTAGAGTGTGCCACAGAGAAAATCAGTGGCCACTGAAGTGATGCATACGGTCAACCTCCCTGGTTAACTCTGCATATCAAGAGGTCTAGAGGAAAAATAGTATCTCATCAGAGGAGCTCAAGTTTAAGAGAAGTAACAATTACGCAAACTCGGAAATTTGTGTGATTATAAGTTAGTTAAGTTCTATTGACTTTAGTGGAAGGCTCATCAAACAAACGAAGAAATTCTTGGCTGTCAAATCCACCCCCTACCTCTCGTAACGCGGTTTGGAAATTCCGTAAACACTTCCGAATATGGAATTTTAATACTCTCTTGTTCTTCACTTTCCTTGAATTTAAAATATAAGAAGGAAGCAGCTGCCTTCAAGGAGGTTCAGTGCTTAGTAAAAGTATGTCATATACAGCGCCAAACCTCTTATTCAAATATATGTATAGTCAAACACAAGGGGATTGAGAGAATGGGTCTGCTAAAATTGATACAACGAATAGGAAAAACAGGTAGGAAACTCAATGAAACGATTCGATCACTTTATGTTCATACGTTGGGGTGCGCGATAGACTTACCTCCAATTGGTGCACTCTGGGCAACGTTACTCGTACGGCAAAAGTCTATAAACCGGCATTTGACTTCTGACTTCAAACTACCAAGGCCACACCGTGTGTCATATTCGACCACTTCCTTATTATCCATCTTACCTTTTCTCTATCTTTGTGTCTGTCTGTCTCTTTTACATCCTTGTATCACTCATCTGTCCCCCTCTTCACTTTTAGTAATTTTGATGACCCTAACTTTCGTGAAACCTGAAGTCAGCTAATGGGCTAATGGTAGCTATCATAAAGCTTGTCATTTGATATAAATATACACGCGTTAAGTACGTATTACCCAAAAGCATAATAGGCCGTTACTACTGACCAAAAGGACAGTAGCAGAACACAATTGTCTCATTTACGTGACTCATTATAATTTAATCCGCTTTTCGAAATAAGTAGTAGAATAGACCACTTCCCTTTTCTCGTAGTATTCCTATTAATTTCTTCTTCCTTTTTACATTCTAGCTCTCGCGGTTTCAATCGTTGCAATTATGATTTGATCCCAATTCAATATTTAGGTCCACTGGTACTGTGGATGTCTACCATCAGCTGATAAAATTCAACCCTAGCACCAACAATTTGGCTACGTTAATGGAGCTTCATTCACTAACATGCTAACAGACATAAAGACAAAAATCAATTCTACACGTTACGAAATCTGATACGACTCTGCTTATTACTAGACGATTGAGAACACGATTGCGCGTAGCCGCAAAATGCTACGTGGATTGTAGATGTGCATGTTTACAGATGGTACGGATGATTGAGCTAAGTACTCTAAGTTTTACTCTCAACTAACTTAATTAGGTAACAGGAGTTTCGATGTGATTACAAAAAAGGAATGGAGAGGAAAAATGAAAGAAAAAACACCAAAAAATTCCCCTTACTATACATTGTATTGGATTAGCGGTTGCACATCTTCAATTATCTCAATCATTGACTTTTATGCATGGTTTAAAGCTATTGAGCTTGGAATCGGAAATATAAATGGAATTGAATTCAACGCCAGAAGAATGAAGTGCTTTTAAACAAGGAATAATTAAATACTTTTGTCATCAGTAAATGTACATGTATACCTGTTTTAAGATAATTACACGACAAAGCATCCAAAAATTATTGAAAATCGATATAGCACGAACCAACGAAAGCCTATGGAGGAGAACTTAGCAATAGACTAACAAAGATAATAAAATTTTAACTTGTTTAAATTATGAAATTGTCACACCTCTTTTAATTCCAGCAGCTTGAATAAAGAATTGCAGTCGTGCCGGGCATTGACAAATTTCGCCTGTTTCATGAGCTCTGCATTTGGTGCAATAATTTCTCATTCTGAATAAAGAATAGTGCAAAATCGTGCGAAATACTTCACTTAATCAGTTTGGTAGTATTTTTTAACTGAACGTACTTATTGACTATTGTTGAATTTGTTGCAATGACAATTGCTTTCGTAGTCAATGAATCGATTTTCAGATCCCTATACCCAGCAGGGTTGATAATGATGCTCGGCTTCTCTGGTTCAGCACAGTAGAGAGCACAGATTACAACGTTCCATTTCTCATAAGCGAATCTTCACGGATGAAAAGAGTTCATAGAAACCCTCCAATTATAGAACAGCTTTATTCGAGTACTCCACGATTACTTACAGTGTCAGCTCTTGAGCACACAGATTGTGGAACTCGTAACTCAAGCTAACATCATAGATCTCCATCGAGACACCAAACTCGTATTCCCGTCGCCACTTCTCCTTTTGGGTTAAATAAGCCATTTAAAGAGGAAGAAAATGCACTATACCTGACTCCCGACATTTTTGAGTCGATGACCGTTAAGAAGATTCAGAATTATGGTTGAAAAACCAGGAGCAAGACAATTAAGAGCCATTAGACCCAGCTTTAGTTCATCCATGCAGATGACCATATCCTTGCTTCGACATGTCCATCGTGGGAAATTTTCCAGGAGACACTAGAAGGAAAATGGAAATTCGTGATTACTGCCGTTATTAATAATAGTTAATTGAGGGCCAAATGGACAAACTTTGTTCCTGAAGTGATGTAGTTGCACAAGAACTCGGATTCTCTCTGAATGAGCTTTCAGAGCAATGGCTTGCATAATATTGGCGCCATCTTCATCACTTGACCTCGAAGAATTGGGAGTAGCCAGAACCATAGCTCCTGCAGAACTACGGAAGCAGATCCGGGCCAAATCTTGAGGGTCAGCTGGAGTACCCTGGAAATACTTCACCCAAGCGTTATATTTTGTCAGGATTGCGCGTAAAGCTAAGTCGATCGGTGATCTAATTCAGGGCCAAATTTATTGAAGCGTAATAGAAAGGAGCAGATATCAATTTTGAGAATGGCATTTTAACTTACACACGAAGAATCACCATGTTCACAAGATTGCGTCTAGAGGAATGTTCATTATGGAAGAAGCCGCGAAGAACAGCACTGAGACTGATGTTGTCAAAGTGTCCGCAAACCACAACATGTCTTGAAGGAAAGCGAAGGTGAAATATAGTCAGTCAAAAGCTATAAATCTACAGAATATTACCTACGCTTAATTCCGTGCTCGCTGATATTAGCTAGAATTTGTTGTTCAAAGAATTTCGGCAGTCGGTTCTACAAGTATACCCTAGTGAGTGACAAATTATTTGAAAATGAAGAAACAAAATGAAAATTGATAGTGAACATTGTTCACTTCCAGAACACCCATAACATCACATTTGTGAAAGCGCTTAAGCAATTATTTTATTAAATGGACATAACGGTCTGGTTGCAATAAGCTAAGTTTAAGCCAGAATGAGCAATCCCCTCAGGTGCTCTCGCAATCACCCGTATTTGTACATGCTATTCCTGTCATTCTGTCACTTAAATTAGATAAAAACTGCCATCAACCTGGTAGTGGCTTGACCTTGAAACTTCAACCATACGACGAAGCCTTTCCTTTAGATAAACAGACTTTGGAAAATGCATGAACTAATAAGCCACAAGTGAAGCAAACTCTTCACACAAATTAGCCCAATGGAGCAGTCGAAATGGGTGGTTAGAGTAATCGTGTTAGATTAGGCCACGTCGTCACCGTTTTCCCCCCCCCTCTCATGTTGGAACTAAGTGGACGTGCAGTGGGAATTTAACGCCTAATATTTTCGCTTGTACTCTTCATGCTCTTTAGTCCCTAACTTCCGTCTTTAGTGAATATTAAAGACTTTTTTGCTCTTTCATAATTACTAGCTTTGTTTTTACGATGTGCTATAAAATAGGTATATTAGAAGCAGGCTGCCTAGAGAGTGCCTAGGATCGATTAATTGTTATTTATATATGAAGTCAGTTTTTGCCTACCACCAACTTTAGCGCAAATAGCCAATGAAACTCCGTATTCTAGATCATGAAATAAAAATATGGAGGGTCGTGAATTTAGCTCAGCACACTTACCTTGAGGACAAGGATATAGCAACATCAAGGGTGACACGGCATCGTGATACCTTTATATAACTCCAAACAAATCTCCTCTACACAGTGAATGGCTTCAAGGAAGTGTCTGAGAAAAGCTAGTGGCACTTGCCCTCTAATCTCTTAGTTTGTAATGAAGATTTAGGAGCAATAGTACATTTATAAGTGGTGTAAAACTTACTGATGTCCAGCCAAGGCTTGATATGAATCAGATTGCTCGTTTCTCGTGGAGACTTTATTTAATATCTCGGGCACAAATACAGCGAAGATACCCTAAAGTGTAAAAAGAACCTAAATTATAACGATTGCTCGTTTAAGATTGTTACTATAAGACGGGAGTGCACTAATAATGTACTCGACTGTTATTGGCCATCACACCTGCATGCTGACGTCATCCCAAAGCCAAAGATCTCCGACAGTCACGTGCTCTTTGAGTGAACTGCCTGTTCGACACTGGTCACCATTTCCAGTTATTTCCTCCCCATTCTAAGAATCGATTTCAGACAAGTTTCCGTCTCATAACTCACTTCAACTTTTTTTGTAATTTCAGGAAACAGTAATCAATTTAGTAACCTGTTAAGGTTACTGTGCGTGGCAACAATGAAGAACCTGTACAAACTAGACTCTTTTATAATGCTCAGTTGTCACTCTGTGAAGCTTTAAATAAGCAGGCACTGAAAAGTAAAAGGAGGAAAACGAATCAAAAGTCAAGTTCATTTAACTATCAGAATAGAATATTAAATAAATGATTTACTGCCCGGTTTAGTCAAAAATTGCAATGAGAATTAATTGAGTGGCAGTCTTGCATACCCAGGTGAAATTGGGTCCGAATAATCAGCATTACAGTTCATGAGGAATGGAGAATGAGTTTCTCTTGAGTACGGCGACTAGACTGATTGTATCCTAGTCTCAAAGCGCAATAATCGTGGTTGAGAGTCACATATGGATGAATGCTGACGGTGAGGTTTAAGCACAAAATGTTTCATTACATCTCTCCCTAAATTTGGGCAAATCAGTAGATCACACTTCTATTAATCACAAATTTACCTTATTTTTAATTTTATCTGATTGAAATAATCATTTCAAATTACTAATTATGTTTGAATATCGACACCGTAGTTTAGCCCCACAGGGTGTATGAATAGTCAAGAAACGGATTAAACATCCCGTAGGTCGTCTTCACGTTAGATCACCGATAACGACTACTGCATTATGACCAATATGAAAGAGGCCTTATGTCCTTTGCCTTATAGAAAGTGAGATTGAGCGCATTTGATTGGTTACGTAATGTCCAGCGACCATTTTGCTTTAACTGAATTTGTTCAGTATTTAATTGCCACTAGTTAATAACGGTTTTGAATACAGCCCCGCTAAAACCTGTTTTCAGTCGATAGAAGTGTGTTTATTGTTGAAACTTATTTGGAAGAAAGTTGTTTGCAACGTCAAATTAAACCCCCTAACGTAGCAGTTTAAATACCATTCGCTCACTGGAAAGTTTTCAACGCTTTCTCGGGACTCTGCTAAGACGTCCATGGAAATCAACCACATCCCTTCCCCTCAAAGAAACTTCATGGTTGAACATGTTTAAGCAATTACGTACGTGAGCGTACGAAGTGAGAGTAATGCAAACATTACAAATCTCGAATTGGGTATAACGAAAACGCAGAATGGAAAGTGAAAATTCGCAATACCATTGCGGAAATCAGACCAAATAAATGGACAAAAATTTCCTGATACAGGTTGAGACGCGTGGAGTTGTGTACCGATGTTCATGGTGAACATTGCCGGCACCTTCTATGAACTATTGAACGCTCAGTATATGTCTATTCGTAATATTCTGTGTACTTACTACTTTCAAATAAACATTAAATATTAATTTACCTTTCTGTATTCACACAGAACCCCCTTTAACTTGGCCAACCGTAACTTTTAAAAGGTGTGCAAAAAATGAAACCGGCATTGGTGGACTATCCTTAAACTTAAAATTGTTATTATTTTTAGGGTATATATTAAAGTTAATGAACAATTTTTTCGCCGCCACACTCTAGTTATTGTTTTAAGGCGAAACAGTCGATGACTATTGGCCCACTGCTTCAATGGCACTATGCTAATTGGCGTCAGTGGCACCTCAGTCAAAAGTTCGAAACTCCCAAGCGTATTATGTAGGAACTTTTAAAAATTTATTTTAGATAAAACAGCGGTATCTGGTGGTGAAACTCGAATTCCGCCACCTTTTCTTATTGACCAGACAACCAATGAAGTTGGCCAGTCCTCCCACATGTGGGCAAATGCCCCTAACTTCGTTCACGAGAGCTATAACCGTTGCGCCATTGCCGCAATAATCGATTAAAAATTGATTTTCAAGACTTACTATTGCAACTGGAATAAAAATGCAGATATACAGCCGGCCAATCGTAGTTTTGGGGTGGAAATCACCATATCCAACTGTTGACATAGTAACCAAAAGGAAATAGCAGCATATGAGGTAACTCCACGTATCAGCCTTGTGATCTTCCATCCAAAAGTCTCCCAGATGAATTATCTAAGTGAAGGAAGAAGTGCTATAAAATTTTGCAGAAAATATATCATATTTTAGTTTTTTTGAAGAATGAAGGTTACAAGGTGAATGAGACCACTAGCAAGCATCCACATGGCGAACATGGTGAAGAAGACGTCCACAGTTTCGATTACATTGTTCGAGGAGAGAATACCGAGATAGTTGAAAACTTCACCGAAATTGAAGATATTCAATGCACGTAGGAAACCGAGGTCTGTAAAGAAGTTGATAAAAAATTGACTAGATAAACAATTAATTATGGTCTAAATGCATTTAAGGAAATTATTAAATTAAAGCAAATCTAAATTCGGGTTTGTTAGAGATTCAATTATTATTACAGTGTTCTGTTTTGACCGTAATAACGAATGCCTTTAATTGACAAGCCAAACGTAGATTTTTGTCATTTTTACTTACAACAGTGAAAGAATACTTGCAATTCGCCTTCTAGAAAAACTCAGGAAACCGCAAATCGTTCAATTGGGAAGGAAGGTAGAAGGACAAAACCCAGTCGGATCTATTCCAATTCCTTAAATTCTGATACTGGGATACTGGGAAGCAAGAAGACTGCTAATGAACTGCTATTAATTAACTGCTATAAATGTACCCCCCCCTCTTGGGGAAGCTGAAGTCAAAGATTAAGGTAAGCAAGAAGACTGCTAATGAACTGCTATTAATTAACTGCTTTAAATGTACCCCCCCCCTCTTGGGGGAAGCTGAAGTCAAAAAAGCCTGCCATTTGAAATAAATAAATAAATTCTGATGTCCTGAACGTCAATTGTCAGAGTATGATCGTAGAGTTCATGAATTATTTCGAGGCTGCTTTGCCTTTGTCTCTTTGGTAAAGAAGGATGACTATTTGGTGTTGGCTAAATTATTTTCATTTGACTAAATTCATGCTTTATTCTTGAGTCAATCGGTACTTTTCGCATTCTATTTTATTAACGATTGTTTCTAATCACACAATACTTTTCATAAGGTTTCCAATAGAAATGGTTAAAAAAGATATATTGATTGTGATGTTCCAGTTCTGACGCTGGAAAGCTTTTTCAATCGTTCTGCGGGAATCTGCGGGAATTTCTATCAGAAATTCAGCGTTGGTCATTCATGTTCAAAGTGCGTTTCTGTCAAGTCATTGGTTCATGGAATCAATGCCTATAAATCCATACACAGCGCTGTAAAGGGTCAACTGACCGCCAATATGGGTAGTAGAGTGCAAATGCCTTTAAGATTGACCTCAGAATGACTTCCATTTGCCCTTGGAAGCATTGGAAATCTAATCGATTGTGAACTTTAAGTCGCTAAGGCCAGAGAAAAAAGCAGCAATTTCAATGCTAAACGGTCATCTTGTACTCCTAGAAAAAAATGTCACCAGAAACCAAGCAGTACAGGGAAAGGAACCAGTGACCAATTAGATACAACTCTGAGTAATCAAAGAAGGCTAGCACAATGATTACAAATGAACTTGCCAAGGTGATAGCGAGGTTGAAATGCTGCAACGAAAGATCCACAAATAGTGATCACATCGACAAGAGATGTGAACTTGAAGAGGAACATACATCTATCCACAGCCGCACCCAGCTGAAATAGCAGAAAGTTAAATTAAATGCCTAATCATTGCTGTGAGTAAAAATTGAATAAAATTTCCTCTGCCAAAAAATATACAATCGGATGTACTTAATAAAAGGATTTAATTATTTTACTAATTTTTATCGTGATTATAGGTTCTTATTGCATTCACCCTTATCCACAAGTGATAGTTATTAATTTTCACATATTTCCATTGTAATCCACTTTAGACACTTCACTTTCATCCTATTTCCCACGAATCATTAGCCCTCCATTATTGATAGCATGTGTCCAATGCAGGAATCGACGACAGGTAGATTTGCACCTACCTTCACCACTTATTGAAGGTCAAATTGCGGGGAAGAAGGAGTATTTTGAGGGCATAGTAATCACGTGGATGGTGTTAAGGTGCGGTTAATTGTTGCTACTGAGAAAGAGAATCCGAGTTTCTACAGGCTATTGGTTATTATTTTGCTGTAAACGACTTCTTCAAACACGAGCCACTACTTTTTACCTATCGAGTGGATATATCCGGTTCACTCCCTGTTTTATTACTTACGCTCTGAACATAAGTAAAGTTTTCCATTATATCAATTTGTAGCTTAGAAAATTCAAACATCGCCGTTAGCAGTGGTTAAAAGGCAGTCGTCTACGACATCATATTAATATGCCAGGAGTCACGTTAATTGAAAGATTAATAGCAAAACGATTTAATAATATCCCTCGGGAAAAGGAAACGAAGTGCCACCTTTTATTGGAAAGGTGAGCAAGTATCAAGACAGTGATGTAAGTCACTACTAAGGCTACCAAAGTTGAAGCCTCTCAATATGTGTATCGATGAAATGAAAGTAGTATTGACCAATCATAAGAAAGATTTATAGGTGCGATCAAATGTTCGGATACTTGGTGGGTATTAGCAAGAGGGCAATTAAGATAAAAGTAGAATAATAGAAACTAAAACTGTTACCTTTATTTTCATATAACTCGGTAGTTAAGCACTCGAATTAATCGCCTTTCAAACAATTTCAGAAAAGGGTGGTTTACTTTCTTACACAAACTCATTAGAAGTGTACTTTTAACTTAGCTGGTAACGTAAAACCAATAATCGTATAATCAGTTTGGAAATTAAGACAGAATAAAACTCTCTGATTACGGAAATTTCATGAATAATTGCGGATGTAATTTACCATACCCATAACTGGCCCAAATTGGAGTCAAGTAATTTTAACCGACAAATAATTCAAAAGTCTTCAAGATGTCCCGGATGGAGAGGTTTCGGTAGAGATATTAGGTTGTAATATACGTTAGTTTTGCTGAGTATTTCAAATTAGAGCCAGCATATTTCATGCTTTGGGAAATACTTAGGAAGTATTCAAAAAATAAATTAAGTTGAATTCCCTGAAAGAAGTACTATTTTCTTCAAAAATGTGACAACAAGAATTTCCAAGGTATGGAATGCTTATGAACAAAGCATACTTTGAGACAATTTTCAAGAGGCCCTATCTCTCATTAAGCCCAAAACTAATGCCTCGTTGTCGTGAAGAACAATTATTTTAAACAGTCATATGTAAAAGGTCAAAAATTTCTTCCAGCCGATAATATGAGATTTATTATCTGGTTCGGAGAATTAATCAGGATAGGCACTAATTGGCATGATTTAAAAATATCCAAGATAAACAACGCCTTGTTTTAATTTATTTTTTTAAATCAATTTCGATTTCTCAGATTAAAATTTAGACTGAATGGTAAATAAAAACTCGATCAAAACCACGGCGCCTAGATTTATTTGTAAAGATAAGCAAAGCTCATTCCTTAAGTGGTTTTTGAAGAATTTGTTACGGATCGTCCGTTTGTGTGTCATCACCCAGAACCATGACTATATTAAATCAGTAACTCAATTTTTACTTGTTAGTAAAAAGTTTTGACCAGTAGCTTTTAACCTCCCCTCTCCCCCTCCCCCTCTCCCCCTCCCCCAAAAGAAGACGCGTTCCCATTTTAACTTTTAAAAAATAAATAGTATTTGTTTATTTTAAATCCAACAAATACTGCAACTAAAACATATGAAATGCTGTAACTAAGGGTGTGTTAAGGGGGACTTACACAGTGGTGGAGTTTTGGCGCCTTTAACTAGAGATGTGTTCATGAAATCAAAAGTAAATTTGCACATGTTTAGTTTACGAGTCCGAATAGTATAATCGTGTGATTTGACACCTTTTAGTTATGGAGAAATCAAACTCCAATTGAATTGGAACAGCAAATGATGCTTTCGTGTTGCGCTATTTAAAATACTAAATTTACATTCATTTTATTTGACTTAGGGGAACGAGATAGATAATAAAAACGGTATATGCGTCTGATAATTAGTTAATTATCAGAAATAATTTATCTCTCTATCTGAAATTGTCTATTCCAATGACATACCCATAAGAAATCGATATATTCATGTTGACTGTCCCACTCGATTCTTACTCGCTGCAAATCTTTTCACCGTGTAAAAGGTAGCGGTTAAGTACCCAGAGTGATGAAAGTAGATGTTTGCATTATTCTGGCATCAGTTGAACTTGAGCCAACTTTTGAAATGTGAAAGAGTGAAAACAGTGGCAATTCCCACCTTTACTCTAGCCAAAAGAGAACTTAGTATAATCGTTTTCAAAGCTAAGTTTAAATCGGATAGAACAATCTCGAACAGTTAACGACACAAACCAAATAAAACTCAGTAGTAAAAATGCTGAAACTGGGATCATCTATAAGCGAGTTAGAACTAAAATGTTTAGTGTGGGGGGAGGCGTTTAACAACTCGCTCAGTTGCCCACTTTAATGAGCAAACAAACTACTCAAACTCTAGGAGGCGGAACAAGATATGCGACTCAAAGTACCGTTCTCAATTAGAGAATTCAAATGTACTTATTTAGAATTGAATAGGTGACAAGTAAGTGGCTGACGGTTTCTTTTCTGACGCTTTAAACTATCCAAATTTGAGTGTAGAAGTTCAATAATTGATAGCTCGGTAAATGAAGAGCGAACTTACGATTGCATTGAGAGAAATCTTTGCTTATTTGCCCGAATGCTCCAAAAATATTTTTTAGGCTTTGCAACACTAGAGAACAATGTCACCATTGAGCTGCCATTATCAACACTATCGTTCATTCTTTTGTGGAGAAGAGTGGAAAACAGTCAAAACTTGTGACAATCTTTCGGAGCCATTTGTTCTCTGTTATTAATTTCAGTTATAATCTTCACCTTGAGCATAGTTAATTGTTTCCATTGCTGTTAACTATGGTTTTCAATTATATATATATAT